CCGGTACCCTCCGGCTGCTGCACGTAGCATCCACCGCGCAGCGCCCGGCTCGGGCGGAAGGCATGCCCGTCAGCATAAGATGCGAAGCCGCCACACCAACCTCCCGGCCCCCCACGCTGCAGAGAGCCCCCCGGAGGTCCCCAAGGACGCGGCGGTCCCCAAGGRCRCGGCGGTCCCCACTCACCGTCCCCTACAGCCATCATGCCCGGCGGTGCCGCGGGAGGGCGGGCGCGGCGGTCCCGGCCGGATCCCCGCCGGATTCCTGCCGGCTCCCTGCCGCTACAGCCGCCGCCTCGCTTCAAAATAGCAGTCCCGCCTCGCCAGGGAACGCTCCGCTCCGCGCCGGCCCAGCCCGGCCCCGGCCCGGCCCCCCGAGCGCTCCGCCCCCGCCGCCGCCGCCGCCATGTGCCCGCCGGGGTGCCCCGCAGCCCCGCCACCGGCTGGCATCCCGCAATCCAAAAATTGGCGACAAGTTTTGTGTACCCCACGGAAAATGAAGCGACAGCAGAAGAAGCAGCAGCCTTGCTTCTCTTGTGCTCTTGACGAGCACTCCACAGAGAGAAGATCGACCACGACACAACGTAACACAAAACAAAACAGTAAAGCCACAGGAAGCAGGAAAGGGCTTCTTTGAAGAAAGGTGCTGTCTGTTTTTGTGAGTTTTCGGAAGACTTGTATGAACACCCACCCCCCGCCCCCCCGAAACTTTAAAGACACTGCTTCCAAAGCATGCATGCAACACATGCTGGAGAGCATGGATGACAGCCTACCCAGCCCCTGAGCTACTGATCATAGTTGGTACCCATATCTACATTTTTGGTGACACACCTGAGGGTACACAGAGGGCAATCCAACAGAGTGATCCAAAAAACTGGTAAGTAGTACCAATKTACTTAGTCTTGCCTATGGAAAAGTTTACAACTCAGGCAGAGCAAAGSACATGCTGCTGCACAGCGCATGAGAACCACACATTTGCAAGGAACCCTACAGTTCCCTGTGTAAAAAAACTCAGGCAAATTCCTTAAAAACCAACAGAAGCATCAGCCTGCTGAGGCCCTTTTTTTCCAAATGGGATTAAACTGACAAGCACCCTTCACCAATCAGTAAATTTTCCTATTTGAAATGATAAATCATCAGGAAGAGCAGCTGAAATTGAAAATTCTGTGGCTACATTTTGACCACTTGCATTGTGCAAGCCAAAGAAATACATGCAGCTCAAAACCTCTGTAAAATAATCATGGCAGCTATCACCAGTATTCCCAGACGATATATATTCATGTTGTGCCTCACTGGTGAGCTCTATTAAGAGTATGTCGTCACTGTCTCCATAGTAACTATATTTCCAAATAGAAAACAGCAAAGGGAAATAAAAAACAATAGCGTAATGTGGAAAAACAGATACACACTTGTGCTATGGATTTTTATTTGCCCCTTTTCTTCCCCCAGGAAAACATGTATTTCAACTGCATCTTTATCACCCATATCACAGCTCCCCTACACTATGATGCTAACATCACATATCCTACCTGTCATATTTCCTGTTTGTAAAGCTAGTCCTTTGAGCCATTAAACATTAAAATGGAAAAATTAGAAGGGTTGAATAGAGGTACAATTTATCTTCAGCTCAATCATTCTGCTGAGTGCAGCAGAGAGCTCAGTATTAATAGTTTCCCTACTTTTTGTTTTAATTCCCTGCCTCGAAAATAACACTACTATCGGATAYAGGAGTCTGCTTGAATTCTGTTAGAGAAAACAGTATTTACAAATCTCAGGCAACAGAAACAAGTGCCTTTGTAGTGTTGAGATTGGCTGCCAGTTCTGTTTCCATAGAAATGAACATTCACTTGCTGAAAAATGGGGGGGTGCTTAAAGAATCTTCTCCCGTTTGGAAGGCTACATATAGTTCTAGAGGAGTGAAAGGGCAAAACTAGCAGCATACATAAGATATTGCTCAACAGGCAAGGATCTTGATATGATTCTCTTAATAGGCATCATTATGAATGTAAACAAATCCAAAGGTTTGCATAGCAGGTCATTCATTCACAAAATTCACATTAAAKAAATGATCTCTGATTTTACTATCCACATTTGAGAGTAAAGGAAGATGGGTGGATAATAATTATTGGAAATAAAAAAATCAAAGGTCAGCTGGAAAGGCAGGCTAGCAGTGGGRTATTACTTAAAGTCATTCTCATCAAGCAAAAGCACTAAAACTCCTGCACAGTTCCCTTATTAAACATGGTACCTCCTCATATGCTGGCTTTTGAAACTCTTTGTTACAACCTACCCCAATTGTTCCATCCTTAGGTGTTTAAAGGCATCCTTAGGTGCCTTTCACCTCGTCTACCCTCCAAGAGGATCTGTCARTCTCTAATAGCAACTTGTTCTCCTCTTTACCATTCCATCACAGATCAGATTCAATAAAGGAAGGAGGAAACAGAAGACTAAAGGGACTGTTCTCGACAGATCCCCAGAAGCACACTCAAAAGGATAAGATATTAAATCTGCTAGTGTGCTAAGACTGCAGGAAGAAGAGCTTTTCCTGTCCTACCTGTATTTCTCCCACATACCTAACCATACCAACACAATGTTTTTTAAAACTCTCAAGTGTTAAATAATGTTAGTACAAACTTCTTCTTTTTTTTTTTTTAATATGTATTTGTTTATATTATCAACATACTATGGAAAACATTTCTGTATTCAGGTTGTTTAAAGCTGCAAGCTTCAACTCTTTATTCTTTTTTTTTTCCCCCAATTACATGCTGGATAAAAAGACTGAACAACTGACGTCTGTATTATTTGATGAGAGAATCCTAAGTCACATCTCTGGATTCTCAGAAACTAGGTCAACACACCAAATATTCACTAGCACAGCAGTGTCACGCAGGACTAGGATGGGGATGACATCTTCCAAGGTTATATTAGTGAGCTCTCCSTACGCATCACACACTGAATGGGACCTCAGTACAGTCAACCTATTTGGGACAATAACTCCACCTGCCAAAAAGCCTCCTTTGGCTGTTAAGAAGGCCCGCTATGGAGTTTAATTATAATAAAGCTAGTTGAAGTGTTTTTTGCCTTTGCCACTCCTTCTCTGCCTCCCCCCACTTTGGAAAGATAATGGTATTTCCCCCCTACCTTCCAAAACCCTACTACAAAATATCCAACGCACAAAAAAAATTCTCAATACTGTAACAGATGTATTTAGCCACTAAATTTGGCCTTAATCCAGAGATGTTTGATAAAGCTCCTGAAAGAAAAGTTGGAAACAAGGCTACAGGAATTCAACAGTGACTTTAAATCTACACGTGCAAGCAGTAAATACAAATTGTCCTTCAGAGAATAATGAAGCACAAAGCCAAGATAAAGCAYTAACAATGGAAGAATACCTTTTCAATAACATTGAAAAGCTGCCTAGATGGAAGCAACAGACGAACTTGGTTCAAGTAAAAATACCGAAATCAACATATTAAGAGAGATTCATTMATTTATAGTACCAAAACAGAATCACAGTAACTTTTGCATATAAAYTGCCACCTACAAGGCAAAATACATGGTTTATATTGTCATAGATCAGCATTGGTATCTGTGTTTTGCATGAGATAAAAATGGCTTCAAAATAAACTTTGTTAACTCTCTTAAACAGAGACTAAAAGGAGAGAAGTGTTACGTTAAGTAGTCCAGCAACATGGTTTATATATATTTTCATATATTTAAATTATATTCCCTGGTGTGACTTTCTCTGTTCTCCTGAGAACTACTAACAGAAAAAATACACATGTAAAATGCATCTCTGAATCTCTCAAACCTATGAAATCTACACGCCTGTATTAACTTTAAATGCGAAGGATAATGGTTTACCCTTTCATAATGAGTGAATTTACAACCTAACAGAGCATAAAATATTTTTATGTAAAACATAAATTTCCTAAATTAGAATGCTGATTTTTAAAAAAACATATAAATTTTTACAAATCATTTTTTTAAAGTGTTCAAGAACAGCAGTGTYTTATTTCACAGCAAAATGCAGCACAGAAACTCTTACTACCTCAAAGGAAAGGTAATAAAAACACATTCTCTGAACCTACAGTCACTTCTGTTTTCACACTAACAAGAAAAGGGTGCGAAAATTTAAAATGAAAAAGGTATACTTGAGTACATTAAGGAATTACATGCATTCCTCAAAATATTTCTACTCTTGAAAAGTTATACATTCTAGATACAGCAGACTGTAATCAACGTAACTACTTCAAAAGAAAAATTAACATGAGAAAACTCCCCCCAATAAAACAAGATCTATTGGTTTCTTGCAGAAGACAACCTTCCAAAACCAAGTATGTTAAAGCCACAGCATCTCCCTTGTTGTGCTGTTATGTAACATTTTTTTTAAATAATTTACAGTTTTAAATTAAATTTTCATACTRAAAATACTGTAGCAAAAAAGCAGTAGGAAGCAACAGGAATTCTCTGCGTAACAGGTTCTCTTTTCTTGACATACAYCAAAAATAAAGAACTCAARCTCARTGAAGTCTCAACTTCAATATTTAAGTGTCTTTGAATGCTACAGTCTCCTATTTCTACATTTTAGAACTCTATGTATTATAATCATGATGRAACATCTTAACAGAGAAGATATCAAACCCACCCATCACTGAAGTACATTTTTCTCTTAGAAACATACTAAGATAAGACAAAGGTTCATCTGATCTTTTTTCCCATGCACGAACACTTTACAGCATTCTTTTATCCTCTACTGAGCACATGTGTAACTCGTTAAATATTCACTGCTTGTTTCCATGCAGTTTCAACACCTTTTCCAACTGTATTTGGACCACAGTCCAGTAAATACTTCCAGTAGAGTACAATCTTAGTTTCAGCAAGTGTCTCATTTTCTTAGCATTTACATGTTTTTCATCCATCTCACATTGATAACACTAGTATTTAAATATTTATCTTGTATTAATTTAACTGATTATAAATACATGATCTTTCATACTCACCACTGACGTTACTTAAAATCATATTGTCAGAGTTTCTTATTTCATCAAATTTTGCAAARATTGTTTGCAACCTATAAAGAACAAAAACAACAAAGTATTTTTACATCTCTGAACTCCCACCGGCTACTGGTAAAAACGTAAATCAATTTATTAGCATATATAAAGCCACAATGCAGAATGTACAAGGGATTGAGAGCATGAAGAAACAATTCCTAAAGGATTCCTCTTTAGCTGAGCATCTTCACAGAAAACTAAGAAAGAAAACTAAGAAAACCATAGAAAACTAAGTCAACTTAGCAAAGAACAAACCAGCATGGTCATCACACGATTAAAAGTAACATTCTAAAGTTCAGGTTCAGTAACAGCATATATTAGGTGCTCACACTCAACAACAAAATGTTACAGTTTGAACTATGGAATGTTCACTGGGACAAAAAAAACCCACGTTTGCCGTTTAATTTGTTCTGAGACAGTCACTAATTTCCCTCAAAATTTTTGCTCCACAAAATTTCCTCAGTTTGCTTATGAAAAGAACTTTGTGRTAGTTAGCACTTCTACAGGGAAAAAACCCCTGAACAATAAAAATTTCTTCTAAACTTTAGGTACATTATACACTTGAATGTGTCCAACCCGCACACCACTGATTTTAACTGTCACAGTAGAGAATACACTGCAAATGCTTTGTACATGCAAACAGCACACAAACAAAACTTCAAATAAATCAAACAAAAAACCTCCAGAATTCTAGATTTGCAATCTAGTCCCCCAAGGTAAAAAATGAAGCAAGAAACCTGGCAAAACACTTCAACAGCCCTTTCTCATCACTTCTGGAGAAAAGTCAATAAAAGCAGTGGAAGTATCTCACAGAAAAATGTGACCCATGCATTAGCAATAGATTTGTACTGACATGATACATTGTTCAGCTGCAAGCAATTGAGAASATTTCTTGTATTTCTCCAAAGACTTCTCTGCATTTTAGATTGCTTGGAATATGCTAATATGTAACATACACATTGAAATTTTAACTCCAGGACTATCAGGACTGAATTCTGATTTTAAATGAATAAAGTTACGAACTACAAATTACGTGACCGTCTTCAGGTGTCCGAACAGGTACAGTTCAGCTCCATCAGAAGAACTACAGACTACASTACCCAATTCAAAATTTGCTAAAAATTTGCACTAAAAGGCTGTCTCTSCAACTCACAATCCAAACTATTTTATGACAAACCAAGAAAAATGAGTAAGCACTATGCTTGCATATGAAAATTCTCACAAGGAGAAAAGTCAAGGACACACAAAGATTTCACTTCAACATTTTGATATGCACACACACCACATTTACTCAATGATCTGTGCAGAGAGGCTGTGCACTTTCACTGCATACTCTACATTCTCTGAGACTGCATGTCTCTTTCACTCACTGGGACCTCATTTATCTAAAAATGAAGAATGTGATAAAAYAATTAAATGCAGACAGACAACAGTATAGAAAGTTTGAGCCTTCCCCCCTCCACTTTTCCAACAATTTAGGACTCTCACAATGCATTTATTTTTACTTTCCAAATACTTCAAAGCAATCTGCTACAGAGCATTTACCCTGGACTTAACAGGCCCACAACAAGAACTATATGTATTTCCACAAAAAAGCCTACCCTACTGAAAAGCATCTAAAAAAAACACCACCAAAAAGCCCCTTCATAATTTAAGTCAATAACCTGTAACACAAACCAGCAGTTATTCTACCATCTCAACTTATCAACTACATCTCAAAACTATATGTAGCTATATGTAGCAAAGTAGTAGTTTGCCTAGTCTTTGCCTAGCTTACTTGCCAACTTCTCTCTGGAACCTGTTATYCTCTCCATTTTGCACCACCATTGCATTTACAACCACTGCTGTCCCAGCAAAGTGTCTGAAATGGTAGCAGTTCACAAAYGTCACTGTTTTACCATTAAACCTCAGCTCTTTTAATGAAAAGATCCATCTGCAAACCAAAGGCRATATATATCAAAATGAGTTTTTCTGCACTTAGACTTGAAAAAGTAAAACTTTTGAAAGGAAATGCCTTTTGGGTACTAGAATTTACTAATGACATATGAAATCCCATTAACAATCCATGTGCTTTCAACCATACAAAGTGTGAAGTTTACACAAGAATCAATAYGTGTAATAATGCATTAGGCCATCTTGCTTTCATAACAAGAAGTTAATATGTTTGTGTCATATGTTTATTTTTACCCAGGACTTACTGGTAACAGTTTACTCAGCAGTGCTGGATTCCATAGCAAACACTGCATTAACAGTTTACCTAGCTAATGAGGAAGACTTAACACTACATCTGAAAGGCTGAAACTATCAYACCAAGAGAAACTGAACGACTAGAGAGATTAACAGGTTTGCTTTAAGATTTCACTTTAATTTTTGTATCCTTAAAGCTGATGTTATCCATTTGGCACAAATATTTTAGAGAATTCAAAAGAAAAAAAAAAAATTTCCTGCTCTTTTGAACTTTGTTTTCAAAAATGCTTTCCTGAGCATTTTAAGCCAAAGCTAAAAACAAAATGCTTCCTTACAAATATGTTATAATAATATACACATTGCTTCTCACTCTGGGCAAAACATTTGATAAAGTATTAACTAGAACAATGAAAACATGTGTTTATCAGCACTGGATGCTATGTTGTCAGCAGTGCAGGCTGGACACATAGTACAGCCACTCCTCAAACTTTTAAAGCATGTCTTTATGACCAGAAGCACACTCCACAGTATTTGCCATAATTGCAACAACAACAGAAGAGTCCATTACAACACAGCTGTCAACATAGTACAGCACTACTGTAGATCCAACCGTCTCTTTAGAATAGCTTGTAACTACTACTTTGCAAAGTCTCTCACAAGTTTCTTCCTCCCTYTCCTCCCACCCTGCTCTTCTTGCTACCTCCTTCTCATATTTCATACAGTCACAGACAGAAAGGCAGTGTGGACTAGTCTCTAAAATTATTGCAACCACAGTCAATTTAAGAATGTTCACAAGAGTTCAGCTCCTGGCAAAACAGAGCCTGCCAAGAGGAATCCAAGAAATCCCACAGGCTGGATGAAGATCAGTTTTACAGGCAATGAGGAATGTCCTTTGAGAAGAGCAGCATTATTATTCCTTCATCTCATATCTGCAAGCCCAGCTCTGGATAAGGTGGGAATCATAATCAATCACTGAAGTCACCAAATGTCACTGGTGGACAGAAATACTATCTTCTTTTCCCAAAAAAGCACAGACAGGTCTTCTGCAACTCCTCATACACAAGGCAAAATCCCCATTGACAAAAAACACATTCGGGACAGCGGTACTTGTGTATGGGCTGTCAGTGAATGAGTGCATGAAGTTGTACCACTTCAGATGGTGGCTCCTGGCAACCTGACAAACCCTCTCTTCCAGCTGSTGACAGGTCTCTGTCCAAGTATTACCATATTATGGGGCAGATCAATAAGAGGAATATGTATCCTTCTAGCACACGGCTAGAGCTGACACGGACACTCATGGAAACATGGATGCTTCCCTAGAATGTGCACTTCACTTCAGACCAAAAAGCTGTCACTCATGACCATACTTGACAGTGTTCAACTGTTCATGTGAGAGACAGAGAGGGACACCTAAGTGTGGACCTTGTGATGAAGAGGCAAAAGAGCACCAAGCCCCTATCAACAGCAGAAGGAAAAAGAAGAAGAAAGGGTGGTAAGTAGTCTGTTTTTTATGTCCAGAGTCTAAAGCAGGAAATGGCCCATATGAAACCTTGCAGTTGTTTCTCCACGTTTCCCCCTTCCAAGAAAAAAAAAAAATATCTTGCAGACATGTGTCCACATCTGGACACACAGATGRACCTCATCTACAGTTCAGACTAGACAGAGAAGTAGAATGTGCATACCACATAAAACGTGGTATACAGAAATGCATAGGGCAATAAATATGCTTCAACATTTTAGGATGTGAARTTGAGRCCCTATATGTAAGAACTAAACAAATGACTAATTTTATACATTTCTGTCTCTCAAGTAACAGTGGGGAAATTTGCCACATGAAACCCTGAAAGATAAAATCTTTTAACATTCAGACTAAGTAACTGCTATCCAGAGCCACGTAGACTATTTCTGTTCAGGGAAGATCAGCCATACAGATTCCAYACTGTAAGACACTGAATTTGGTCCATAAAGAACAAAACCTCTTCAGTATTCTTGGCTCGCTTACCAATAAATATAACATCCACTTTCAGTATTTACAAATACATGAACACTACTGCTTTTAAGTCTGACACCAAAGACTGTCAAACCCCTCTGGCAGCAATTATAACAAAAGGGAAAACAAGATCCAAATTTCCAACCAATGACTTGATACTGATTTTTCTGAAAAGGAATGCATTTCAAGCAAAAAGCACAATAGTATTCTGAGATTTTTAAGYTGAAAAATAACAAATAGAAAGAGGAACTCATTGATTTTATTTAAAAAGAAACACGCCAATTAATCTCAGTAAAGAAGAGAAATGCACTGAAAAAAAATAAATAGTAACTGAACTACAAAAGTAAGATCCCCTATTTTATCCATTACCTAGATTCTGACAGGTCCAGTAAAGCCCTCTAGAAAATCCAGTATTTTCCACAAAGGCAAACCCTATCAGGTGCAGATTACCKTTTAAGCCTAATATTATTAAATTACTGGCTATATTTGGCCTTGTATAGACACAATATGTATATGCTATTTGCATATTAAGGAAGTTGAAYGATTTCTCAAAACAATGCTTGATTAACTTCCCTGCTTTCCTTTYAGCAGACAGGAACTCTTATTTTCAGTGCTTTAGGATAGAGTGCATTCAAGCAGCAACACACAGCTCTCTAATGTGTGATTTGTTATGCAAATTAAACAAGCTTACATTCTATTAATTCATGTGTGCACCAAACACTGAAATAATAGGTTTTTCTGCTAATATTTATGTTTACAGGTAATTTTTAATGCACTGACTTACAGTGAAAGAGCTGCAATGCAGTTCTTTAAGGCTGAACTCAAGCAGTCGTGTCTGAACTACAGATTATCTGTAATACTTAAAACCCTTAAAACCTACCCAGACAGAGAAACATGAAAACAGATTYCCCTCAAAATAATGATGATACTCTATATCAAAGGCTTTTTCCCCACAGATCATAGCTGCTGCATAACCACATGAAAATTTTACTGTATGTAAGCAAAGGGAAAACCTCTGACAGGCACTGGGGAAGAAATGTCTTAAAGTAGGTCTGCCTCTAAAGAAAACAGTCTGAGCTACCATAGAGCTAATCTGTCTTTCTTATCTTTGTCAAACACCTTCTTAGTTGCATGAAGGAGTAAGTAGGGATTGCARGAACTCTGCTTTATGTCAGGGATGGATGGGACAGAGAGTAGCAGCCTCATGTTTAACTCAAGTAAATCGTAACTTCCCCCTTCACCCCAAGCTGAAACCTACTGCARGGGACACAGCACTGACACTCAGCTCACGTATTATTTTACACTAGTCCTGACTGTCAGGTGCAAAACTGTTGGAGATTTAGTGGCAACAACCCATTTAACATGCACCAAACAGAGTCTTGCTTCTTTATGTAAATGCAAATTATACAACCATGCTTGCTTTCAGATCGGGGGAATTTTGTATTCAGCTGATTCAGACAGTAGAAACAACAGCTTGGCACCTACTGCAACTAAATCAGAAGCTGTTGGYTGTCCTGAGGATACAAAGCACCTATGGTGTTTAATCCTATTTGGATCCCAAGATGTACTCAGCTTGTATCATATGGAGTTGTAAACAGTGAGTGCTGAACCTAAACTTACAGTCAGAAGCCACATTCATTGCAGAAAATCTGTGTTATCTTCACTCTTTTAGTCTCTGTTCCAAAAGATGTCCAAGACCCTATCCTAATGTAAGAAAGAACTCCTCTTCCACTTATTTGCTAGGAAACTCAATTTTTGGAATTGTAGTAATAATAAGGCTYAAACTTCTGTGGTAACCATATAATCCATTACTAGTCTAAAAATGTGATTGTCATTAAATAGAGGAGAATGTGTACAACTTCCTGCTCCCATAGGCAGGGGAAACTTTTGTCTATACAGGCTGAACTCTGCCCGGAATGTGAAACAGTAAATTTTATCAAAGTGCCTTTCTCCCACGACACTTTGATAAAATGGGTTGGATMATCCAGTTCCAACCTTTCTGTCATGGGCTGGGACACCTTTCACTAGACCAAGCTGCTCAAAGCCYTGTCCAACCTCACCTTGAACACTGTCAGGGACAGAGCATTCACAGCTACTCTGGGCAACCTGTTCCAGTGTCTTACCACTCTCACAACAAAGAATTGCTTCCTAATATCTAACTTAAACCTATCTTCTTTCAGTTTGGAGCGTAACCAATTTAGTGGTTCTCATCTAGACTAACAGGTCATCATCCTTCTCATGTTGRGGGCCCCAGRGCTAAATACATATTTTGATATATTATCAAGCTGTATTTTGYTGTCCTACAAATGACCATTAAAAACTAGGGCTCTTAGCTTTTTAGAAGGGTCTGATGAGACACAGTATCCCTTCTGATATTCTCTCTGACACCAAGTAGTAAACATGTAACACTTTACCAAAATCAAGACTTGAAATGAAGGTGAGGATAAAATGGTATGTTAATAGATAAGGGCTTAACACATTTTTATAARTGTAAATTGTTTTAATAAGAATTTTAAAGGTTTTATGGAATAAACAGTCTTTCCCACTAAGTACAATTTCAGGCTCTGTCTAGCTTTCTTAATTAATCAAAGGTAGAAACAAAACAATGGCTTATTTTATTTAATATGAACTAATCTACATACAACATAGCCAGGAACTATAGTAACATCACACAAAGCATAACTAACTAAAATATAAAATAAAAATTACAGTATTTTTAAAATGAAGTTTTTTGTAAATTTAAAGTTCAGATAACAGCAAAACATGAAAGGCTCAAAATKACAAAATCAAAACAGCTGACTCACCTTCCAGGAGGAATGCCTCGCTTCGTAAGATCTATTCGTACCTTCTCTCCCACATGTCTATAAACCTGTACAATAGCTAGTATGGCAGCATCTCTCACCTGTGAACACAAGTTTAAATTGTTAATTTCAGGGTTACAGAAACCAAAACATTTGCTGACAGGCCACTGATCTTCCACTTGATATGGCCCTGCATGCCAACTCAGTTGAAACAGCAAGGATGAAAAGGAAATACAGCTGTTCTATCAAGATGATATTTGTTCCAAGTTAGAGCATCCCCAGATAGTAAAAAATCCTAGAAATAACAGCTTTAGAGGGAATTTATGGGACTGACATAAGAATAGTATTTGTGGAAAAAATGTGCTATATCTAGGACTTGCTCACAGCAGGCAATACTTTCAAAAGTTAGCTCCTGCACTCAGTCTTGATGTTTCGTCTTGCTTTCATCTGTTTCTACACACAGCAAAGTCCTTCYGGAAAACTAAGGACCTGACTGCCCACAAGAGTGGACCAAAGCATTCAGCATTTTCTTTATTTATTTCAATTAGAATTAGGTGGCTTCACATCWGTACTAGAAAGGGAATCAGCAGGACAGTGGAAGTAGAAAGCAAATAYTGAGTGCCTCTTTAAAAATTTTAAACCATAGTCGTCACAATAGAAACTGCCAAAAATGCATTTTAGTAAATGCTATTATTCTCTATAAAGAATGACTGGAATGACTTTAGTATTGTTCTTTGCAGAAGTTCAAACTACACACACAATTGCTCCAGCAAAGATATGAACTACATTTTCACTAATTACGAGCAAACAGGACAAATTCTCAACAGAATCTAGAGCAAAACAATGCTATGCCAATACAGGAGACAAGAACTTGGCTGCATTCAGAAATTAAATATAAAGACCAATCCTGCTTATAAGCCTATCTCTTACCAATGCCATCTTCTCCCTTACTGTATTSATAGTCTTTTCTCTCCAACACAACTTCAGATAACTCAAGATATCTTAACCATTTCCATTGAAAGATTTTCTGMAGTTCAGAAGTCACCACTATGAACTACATTTTGATTTTCACTACACAGGTTTTTGCTTGCTTTAATGATTTTAACAACAATCCTTGCATGTTCTCAAATGCCATTTGGGTTCCAATTAGCAAATAATTACACATAATAAGGTTATCATCAGCAAATTTGGCAAACTATCGCAGGTTTCATAGGTAATTCTGGAGGTAATTTTTTATGTCAATAACTTCTTTTTTTATTTCATTTCACCCTGTTCTATAAGAAAAAAATACTTCCAGGAATTACAACTATCAGCTTCTAAAGATGAAACTAAAAGGACAGTCATATCACAATACTGCTGCCTTTGCAACTCTATTTTCATCTTCCAGTGGATTGACTGATTAAGAAAATGGGTTTACTTTTTCTCATGGTAGAAAATACTGATCTGCTCTACACAAGCACCCTTATCAAATTTGCTTTAAATRCTGATATTTATTTTGCTTTCCCTGCTCTGTCAAAGTATAGTTGTTCAAGAGCCAGTAAGTACTGAAATCCTTACCTGACTGTTGGAGTCACCAAATGCTATACACAGGTGTGGTACCAACTTGCTGAGGATTAATGGCTGTGCACCATAACTAAAAATAAAATAAAATATATTTTTAAAGAAAAAACAGAAAATCATTTTTKCAGAAATGAACTTTTAGCTTAGCATTTATAGAATACAAACTGCTATCAATTAAGCTCTGTCTCTCTCTTACTAGACCTTTATCTACTTTTGAATAAGATAAAAATTCTGTAACTTGAGTTACAGAATTCTTAACTTGAGTCTTTCTTTCAGAAAGCTTGCTAGTTAAGTTGGTTGTTTTTTCTCATGTATTAATTTAATTGAACCACACTCCCTAAGGAATTACTTTCAGAGAAAAATGACATTCAGAAGAAGGATAGAACCATTACATCTCCATAGAAACAAAAAGCTTACATGTTTAAGGTAGCGACAAGACACAAACACACTCCTTCTCGGGATCGGTAATTCTTGTGTTTAAAACCAACAGCAAGGCGTTCCCAAATGTACTATAAAAGCAGAAATAATGGTCTTTAATTACCAGGAGCACAATACAATGTAASTCTATTCCATATAATTACATACGTAATAGTTGCAAAAAAATAACAGAAGACGAGTCCACTGGAAAAGTGAGAAAATTAACTAATGAAATGCACAATAAGGAACACAACACAGGTTAATTCTATGCCAAAACCAATTCCTAAAAAACGTCCTTCAGCAATCTAGCTGCGTATTTTTGTTTGAGAAACAGCTGTCAAAACACACAGAATTGTTACAATTAACACACACAAAACAAACMTTAACATTACAAACTACTGACTCAAACAGAAGTTACTACATTCTTTTTGCTTCATATTCTGTTTCCCTGCCAAGATTTCCTCCCATCCATTTTAGCTTGTTCTTAGCCATAGTCCTACTGTCCCACATCTCCCTTACTTTTGCTTTAGATCTATTTCTTCATTTTCGGATCATTTCTTGCCCACTCGTTCTAATTCCCGTGCTTCCATTTTTGTTCTGCTTTCGGTTCTCCCCTCGGCGCTGGTGCCGCTTCCTGTGCTACGATCGCCCGGCTCGCTAACCCCTCGTTCACCTCCTTGCGCACTCGTTTTTCTCTGCCCGCCCTGGCTCTCTCTGCCTCCCGCCTTTATCCCGTTACCTTTCCATCTCCTCGCCGGGCTCTAGCTGCCCATCACGGCGTGGGAAGCGCAAGCAAGGTGCTGAGGAGCCGGCTGGTTTTGCTCGGGAGCAGATGCACAAGGCTCAGGCTGCAAGGAGCCCCAGCTGCAGCGCTGCCATTGCAGCCCGGCCAGCATCCGGGCAGCGTTGCCTAGCGATGGATGGCTGCACACTGCCAGGAGCTGCACACTTTGCAGCCCAGGCACCTCCCTCCTGCCAACTGCACCCCGGAGTGCTGCAACTGCAAGCTATAATGACGCCACACAAAGCTGCTAAAATGTATTACATACTAATTATTGCAATCGGCTTTCTGGGGGAAAAAAAAAAAAGCCCTCACAAACAGCTGTTGATCAACAAAAACAGAGAGCATAAGAGCAGGGAATATGCATCCTCCTTATTAATGAGGTAGCATGCTTCACAGCAGACATAAAATTTTCCAATTAGAGCCCTGCTTGATAATTTTGTCCCATCTGTGGTTTTTTGTTTGTTTGTTTTATACTTCATTGCATTTGGAGAAAACAAACCTTAGACAAGCAGGATATGKCTTGCCAAAACTGCATAGCTTAACAACAAAGAACAGGATTTTATGGAAGAAAACATCCTTCCAATTAACCCACTGCCACGGACAAACATGGGAAAAAGGAAATCTCCTTGCTAGATGTATAAAAATACAGGTAGAGAGGGAACTGCAGACTACTGAAACAAATAAAGCAGATCTAAGAGAAATTTAGTCTTTCACTAAATTATCCTTTAAGAACTGAATTATTTTAAGCAGACAAACTCAAATGGCTGCTTAGAAATTTCAACTCTGAGAAGATTCTAGCGACAGTTAATGTAAACCTCCCTTTGTCCCATTCATGTACACTTACACCACCTATATATTCATGCCTTCCTGCCCATGAAGAGCTACATCTAGTTCTTGAGCATAAAAGAAACAAAAAGCCTCCAAACACCTAAAACAAGTGCAGGGATTTAACAACAGGACAAGTTAACTATTCAACAGCATGCCACAGGAAGCAAGATGAGTTGACTTGAAAGAAATTTACAGACTTATCCTCAAAAAATTCTCCTACTCAGCTCTTCTAAAGGGATGTTTCTCTGCAGCAGAGAGCCTAAAGCTCTGTATTTCAGTRTTGGTGGCACAGGAAAGACTTCTCTGTTTTGGTCCCTGCTATGAGGATGATTGATGCGTTTCATACAAAGTTTTAATGACCCATAAGCTCTCCTGAGGGCAGACAATCAAAGCCAGGCTTCTCCCGCCTGGAGGAGTTACCTGGAGAGCCATACCTCATAYTACACACACATGCTCTTCCTTGGACCCCACAAATCTTGCACGCTTTCTGACATTGAGACTCATCTCCCAAGGCAATGGAAACATCCCTCTGTTACCTTTATGTACAGCCTAACAACGCTGCACAAAGATGGACCAGCGATCTACAACTCTTTGATGACAAGGGCTTAACACAAAACAACTACCACCAATTTCTTTATCAGCAGCTGTTCAAATGAAGATTTCTCCAAGGCACTCTGCTGTGCACTTGTCCAAATGCTATTACTCTAGAGGTTCTGGTCTGTATGCCTGGTATTTGGAGGCATCCTGGGCACAGGAACACATCATTTATGAATGGTGCTTTGGCACAAAAAAATACTGCCAYGTCTCTTGGTCAATGAACATGACTGACACTGCAGCTTGTAAATAGAAAACGCGTATCTTTGTGGATGACCCTAAAGACCTTGATGTCTAAATCCCAGTCAGATCTGTAACTAAAGGGAGATGAACATGTTCCATAGTAGTGTAACATGATACATGTTCTTTCTATCAGGCAAACAAAGCAACCAAAATAATTTTTCTCACTCCAGATCAAATCTGCAACATCTTATTCACAACACACACCTTATTCAAACTAGTATCTATGAATAAACAAAGCCAGGAATTAGCACCTACAAAAACCCCATTATTTTTCCCAATTAACCTCTGGAATTACAACTGAGAAACAGATTTTCCTCAGGAACTAAAAACTCAAATTGTAAGTTTCTACTCACACCCAGGGTCTCCAAATTTCCAAATAACATCACTACTCAAGAATATAATGTTGTTAAACAATCCTATATTTTTCAGACTCATAGAGATATAAGACTAAGCACTTGGAAGCCACATAATGCTTAGAACTGAAGGTTGAGTTAAGCAAGCCTCCTTAYAACCAAAGATGACAAGCCAGAGAGTAACTCAGTTTGTCCACGGTTCACAAAGCATCATTGTCACACATCTAGAAAGCCAGATGCTCTTAAACTAGAAAATGTGCACCTCAACTGCAAGACTAGTCCTATGTGTTGAAGTAAAAATTTAAATATAAAAAAAAAAWTGGACCTAATTAACCTTATTTATTCCCATTATTCAAACCCAGAAGATGCTACAAACATGCTTTAGTTAACAAAGCCCTGTCACATATAAAAATGGCATAAAAATGTCTACTCAGAATTTAGCTATGATGTGCAAAATATACAGAATCACACTGTGCCAAGATTTCTTATCTTTAACTGAATAATACATCAGTGTCAATCCACTAGGAGTATCTTTAACATTTACACCATTAACAGTCGCCATAACATTGTGACATGTTCAAAGTTCACACAAAAGTCATAAGCTCACTGGAGGCCTCCCTCTGAATCTGCATTAAGCGATCATACCATGGGCGGTGCTGCTTCACTCATCAATTTCAAGATAAGATTCTGTGCTTGCTCTCGAACTTGGTCTTTGGCATCTCCCATACGGTCTATCAAAGGCAGGAGAACTACAGGAGAAGGGAAAAGAAGAGAAAATAAAAATATTAGACACCCAAGGGAGATTTTCTAATGCTTAACGATATTTCCTGAAACACATGTAATATACATGYCATTCAAAAATAAAAGCTGTTTTTAAGTAGGTCAAAATATTTTAAAGTCTCAAATGCATTTCTGAGTATTTTACAAGMCTAATAACAAATGCACTGGTCTGAAATGGAAGAAAATAGTATTTTTCAACAGGTTGAAACCAAAGCAAGCTTCCCGTCTTCAAAACTCTGTGAATAACTTTGATTAAATCTTCAAGAAGTGATCCAGTTGGCTTCAGAATGTCTGGCTTTTCTAAAAAATAATGCTAGGTATGGTGAGTGGCAAAGAATTGAAATAGGAAAATAGGACTATTTTAAAATCAGTGGGACTTTGCTTCTTAATTATAAGAAAATCAAAAGTTTTAACTCCCTTTATTCACACAGTGTATCTTCTGGAAACCCAGCCATACTTCAGTAAAAGCATCGTTAAAAGTTTTGATGTCAAAACAAGCATCCTCAAATAATATTTAACTAAAATTGCATGACAACTGATGATTTCACATCCTAAAATCAATAAAAATCAAAATCAAAGGACTTAACAATTTTTTCTGCTTGCTTTTCCAGACAGAAGTTTATAATTACATCAGATAAATTAATGCTATGATATTAGAAAAGATACCCCAATGAACACGTAGCTCTGTGTTGTGCAAAACATCCTGCTGTACTGGTTCCCAGTCCACCACCTGGGGCCTATACTTTGTGAGATTCTTCCCTGCTGTGATTTCTTTACCACTTCTTCCAGATGAGGGGTGGTGATACTGAGTGCTCTGTCTTCCTTCAGGAAGTACAGCTGATAGCTAGGGGCATTGGTGGAGAGTGATTCAGGGTTCCTATACACAAGTGATACACCACCCAAGAAAAGCAGTGTCATGCTAACAGCGACATTTACCTGCCAACAGCTCAGCTTTCTGTGCTAGCTTTTGTTTCTGATCTGATCCACAGGTTTCTGAGAGCTCCAAGTATCAGACACACAATCCAAGTGGACCTTACTCTACACAGCCCAGAATAATCACCCAGCACATCCTTCTGCTCCTGCACTCTGCTTAAACTGGGGCTAAGTTTGCAATTGCCRTAACGTTTATTTCAAACTTCTATASAGCCAGCATAATGTCTACCKTGAGTTCTTTTGGAGACTTGCTCATATTCCAAGTTAAGAAAACATACATTAACAGCTAAAGTAACTTTTTTCTGCATTTGGTGCTACATCACTGAATACCTGAGAAGATCTTACAGTTGCTGCCTGACCTCAACAGACTGCTAAACAATTTATTTTCCTTTTCTATTCAGAAAAGAAATAACTGTGTTGTAGTGTTGGTTGGTTGACAGATCTGAAGTGATTTTATCAGTACTTGATGATTTTATAGTAATAACTAAACATTAGATTTGCCAGCAAAAGAAAGGGAACAGAACCATAAATTCAGGAGGTTTCCTCGTTCCCCTGTCCCTACATGAAAAACAGCAGCCATTTCTGTACCCTGATTGTTACTGGACACACACACTGCTGAAGTCTGAATTTCCCCTCCTTCAATTTCTGAGGGCTTTCTTACTCTTCTGAGTATTTAATTCTACTGGCTCTGGATATTCCACTGACATTTTCAGCCACCATTATGAAAGTTTAGTGTTTTTCATCCAACTTCTCTACCATTTCTAATCTAAAGAAATTAGTAGAGCTACTTTAATTTTACAGTTTGAGGAGTCTGGGTTTTTTCTTTGGGTTGGATTTGTTGTTTTGATGGTGTGGGACATTGTCTTTATGGTTTGGGTTTTAAAGGGGTGTTTCTGTTTTGTTCAGTGGTTGYGTTTGGTTGTTTGGGGATTTTTTCCCATTTTGTGAACAAAGAAGAAACATCCAGAACTTAAGAAGTTATTTTTGGGAGTGCACAGCTGACCACTCCCATTAACTTCCAATCACACATATACCTACTGACTACACTGTTTTTGCCGAGAGTACTTTTCATGTCCATTTTCAGCACTTCTGAAMTGACCTTGTCCGTGCCATACATTACTAGTGAGGTCTCTATACTGATCTGACTGCTGAAGGCAATTCTAGCTTTACAGAGAGGGAAACAAACACAGCCAGTGCTGAGTCCTGCGGGAACACGGCTCCTTTGTGACTAATTAGCACTCTGAGTCATCTGACGGAGCTGCAGATACCAGGGCTCCGCTCAAATCACCAAGACAAGCACACAGAACAGCTACTACTCTGCTGAACAGAGATGAGGTCACCGAGTTAAACTAAGCTATGACACAGCCTGCAGATTTCAGTGTGTGCAGCTACTGAACACACCAACCTTTGCCACGCAGAGTTCTGACAGAGGGGCAACCCGCTGTGGGAACTGTTAAAGGGCCCAAATGTCTGCAGGCTTGGCTTTTTTTCCCCTAAATCTCTAGTTTCTGTAAGACCCCCATATAAGGCATGATACATTCTGTTTGCACAAGACAAATGAAATTAGGCTGTTGAGTGCTGGCAACCACCAGCTGGTTTTCAGTGGCTGTTCATCTTTTTCTGTCAGAATAAGTTCCAATAGGAAATTATTTGAAGTTGGGTTTCCTATTGATCGAGTTTCAAAACTGAACATCATTTTGGCTGCTACTTTTCCTYTAAGTTTTACATGCCTCCTCATCAGTATTATCAAATTAGTGTCCCTCTTTATACTGCAATGCAAATACATACATTTGGTTGTTTCTGGCATCAGACTCCAAACTCAAAAATCTCTAACAGATGTTGGAGCTAAAAGAGGGGTGAGGAAGGAGAAGTAGCACCATACATGAAGGCTGTATTCAAAGTCGTAGCCTCCTAACAAGTTACTCAGTGAGGCATTAATTTGTCACATGCAGTCTGGATTCACACATTYCTACTATTTTATATTAACTTTATCCATCTTTTATCTTCTGCTGCCCAGATTCTTAAATAATTTCGATTGGATTTTGGAAAACCTAAGACCATATGACATCTTTCTGTCATTTATTTCGGCTGATATGCTCAGAAACATGACACTAAATTTAGGAGACAGTGATTCCTTTTGYAGCTGTTGTTTATTTTTKGTGAAGCACTGTATCCCATTCAACTTGCCTTTTTGACACATTTTAGCACATTGTCAAAGCTTCTTACCACTTCCAGCCACTCCTGAGGTTTTCCTGTTAGGATTTCCACATTGTTATACCACAAGTTTACAGGTTTTGATTACTGAAGAAAACTTAGACATGCTAGCAAAAATACTCCATAGCGCACATTATTTCTACCAGATCTACCTCAAACTGACCTACTATTTCATAAAATATTCTGGGTTGGAYGGGATCCATCAGGATCATCMWGTACAACTCCTAGCCCTGCATAGGACACCCCAAGAATCACACTAGACAGCATTGTCCAAGTGCTTCTTGAACTCTGTCAGGCTCRGTGCTGTGACCAYTTTCCCAGCGAGCCTGTTCCAGTGCCCAACCACCCTCTCAGGGAAGAACATTTTYTTGATATCCAATTAAACTGCTCCTGACTCAAGTTCRSCCATTCCCTCAGGTCCTRTTACTGTCACCATAGAGAAGAGATCAGGGTGTGCCCCTCCTCTTCTACTCACAAAGAAGCTGTAACTACAGTGAGGATCCCCTCAGACTCTTCAAGGCTGAACAGACCAARTGATCTCAGTCACTCCTTACACGGCTTCCCCTCCAGRCCCTTCACCATCCTTGCTGCTGTCCTTTGGACACTCTCTAATGGTTTAATGTCTTTTCTTGTATTATGGTRCCCCAAATGGCAAACATCACTCAAGGTGGGGCTGCAGCAGTGCAGAGCAGAGCAGGACAATCACCCCCTTTAACTGGCTGAGGATGCTGTCCACTTACATGTGAGTTGCTATTTATGCCTCTTTCCTTTCTGCTATATCCCTAAAAGAGCTTATTATCCCATCAGTTTCTTTTTCCATTGTCTTCTGTCTCTTGTCTCAGTAAATCTGAACAGATTTTAATTTATACAAATTGACCAAATAATTATATCACCACTAGTTGGGACAATAGGTGCATGAATTARAGCCAAAACCAGCCTTCAGAGTCAGAATACAGTCTTGAGAGATGAAATATTTATTTCCTCTACCAGGACCGAAGATGATAAAAGTAAACAACAAGTAAATCACAGAAGTTGCCTAGAATGGCACACAATGTATTTTCAAAAACTTGAGCAGTTTAACTATATAACCCCTGCAGCAAAGAATGCCATAGGTAGCTCAAAAAATTTCCTTTTGTTAAACTTTAACAAGAGCTCCTTTTGGAGCTTTTCAGTTTGTATTGTTGYTTTTTCTTCTCTTCTGATGATTTAGACCTGCTACTCTTTATATACTTGTGTCATTTTAAGTCTCAAATCTACCTATTTCTATGACCCAACTTTAGATACTCCATTCTGCAAAGACATACGAGAACACATTAAGCAATGAAGAATCTTTACCAAGGAAATGTTATCAGTGTTGGCAAAAAATCTGTTACAAAAAAGAAAAGTCTTTGCGGACAGAAACAGACTAAACCTAGGCAGCARTATCTTCCTCATTTCCTCAGAAACCTTGCCAGCTCACGCAGCAGCATTAAACAGCTGTCATTAGAAAGGAGGGAGGGAGAGAGCTGCCTCTTCAATTAGGGCAGGCTCTGTTCTGGGCAGGATGCACAGGAGAGAATGGCATCCCACATGGGCTCCTACAGGGCCAGCCACAGGACCCATCTGAAAGAWCCACATGGCCACGGGGCTACTCCCAAGCAAAGAATCATAAGCAGKCTCTCAGAGAGGGCCTCACTGCTCCCCTCCTCAACATAAGGTCCAGSCCAGTTAAAACAAAAGCAATTTCAGACACTAATGCGTTTCTYGGGGTCTCTCCAGGACCTAATTAGGAAAAGCATTAGTGGGATTAATGACACATACTGTTCATCTCAGTAGCAGAGGA